GTAAGGCACACCGGTGTCAAGAAGCAAGGTAGGTGGTAGGTAGCTGGTCTGAAAGGAAGGGATGTCAACGGAGTGCCGGACGGCGGCTGAGCCTCTCAATCAATTCCTGTACGCCATCGCAGATTGAGCGCTATGGCGCGTGTTGAATACCTCGGAAGACGGGCCTGGACTCGACCTGCATTGGATCTGGGCAGCTTGAGAGCTCAAGGAAAAATTCCATGGTTGGACCGACGTTGGGGGAGCACCTAGGTAGACTGCTACACTGCAGGGCAACCGGCCGGAAGTCTAAGATGGATGGCAGATGTACCTGCAGCGCCAAAACACCTAGCGCAGATACCTCACCCTGCCTCATAGACAACCCGTATGCCCGCTGAGGTACATTGGTATTTCCGGCCACACCTGTGACGTGACCCCCCGAGGGCGGCCCCCCGGTCCAAGTGCGCCTTTGCTTCATATTTTTTTCTATCCCATTACCTGCGGCTTTTTTCTTTCCCTCCTTTCCGACTTTCATCCTTCACCAGTTCCTGAAGCCTCACGATACTCTCACAATGTCTGTAGCGCGTCTTTCCACCTCTGCTCTGAGGACTTCCCTCAGAGCCTCCCCTTTCAAGGTCTCGGCTTTCAACGCTGCCCGTTGCTACTCTTCCAAGAACCAGGTAAATTGCTGCTGCCGTCGCCGTTGTTTTCCTCCGGCCGTCCGGCCCTTCCTTACCTCGGGTATCGTGAAGCTGACACGTTCGCATCTAGACCTTGAAGGAGCGCTTCGCTGAGCTTCTCCCCGAGAAGATTGAGGAGGTCAAGGCTCTGAGAAAGTGAGTGCATAGCCATTGGGCCCCCTTATCGCAACCTCGACAACCGCTAACCTCGCCGTCGCAGAGAGCATGGCTCCAAGGTCATCGACAAGGTCACTCTTGACCAGGTTTACGGTGGTGCTCGTGGCATCAAGTGCCTCGTCTGGGAGGGTTCCGTTCTCGACGCTGAGGAGGGTATCCGTTTCCGCGGCAAGACCATTCCCGAGTGCCAGGAGCTCCTCCCCAAGGCTCCCGGTGGCAAGGAGCCCCTTCCTGAGGGTAAGTCTATGTGTCGCGACAATTTTCGCAGTGAATTCCCTTTGCTAACAAAACTTCAAAGGTCTCTTCTGGCTTCTCCTGACTGGCGAGGTCCCTACCGAGCAGCAGGTCCGCGACCTGTCTGCCGAGTGGGCCGCCCGCTCCGACATTCCCAAGTTCGTCGAGGAGCTGATCGACCACTGCCCTACCGACCTTCACCCCATGGCTCAGTTCTCCCTGGCCGTTACCGCCCTCGAGCACACCTCTTCGTTCGCCAAGGCCTACGCCAAGGGTGTCAACAAGAAGGACTACTGGGGATACACCTTTGAGGACTCCATGGACCTGATTGCCAAGCTGCCCACCATTGCCGCTCGCATCTACCAGAACGTCTTCAAGGGCGGCAAGGTCGCCGCTGTTGAGAAGGACAAGGATTACTCCTTCAACTTCGCCAACCAGCTCGGCTTCGGCAGCAACACCGACTTCGTCGAGCTGCTCCGTCTCTACCTCACCATCCACACTGACCACGAGGGTGGCAACGTCTCTGCCCACACCACCCACTTGGTCGGCAGTGCTCTGTCCTCCCCCTTCCTTTCCGTTGCTGCTGGTCTCAACGGTCTGGCCGGTCCTCTCCACGGTCTTGCCAACCAGGAGGTTCTCAACTGGCTCACTGAGATGAAGAAGTCCGTTGGCGACGACCTCAGCGACAAGGCCATCACCGACTACCTCTGGTCCACCCTGAACGCCGGCCGTGTCGTTCCCGGTTACGGCCACGCCGTCCTCCGCAAGACTGACCCCCGTTACTCTGCCCAGCGCAAGTTCGCCCAGGGTACGTATCCACCATGAATGACAATCCAGATTCGACGTAAGAATGAGAATACTGACAACCCTACAGAGAAGATGCCCAACGACCCCATGTTCCAGCTCGTCTCCCAGGTCTACAAGATCGCCCCCGAGGTCCTCACCCAGCACGGCAAGACCAAGAACCCCTACCCCAACGTCGACGCCCACTCCGGTGTCCTCCTCCAGTACTACGGTCTTACCGAGGCCAACTACTACACCGTCCTCTTCGGTGTTTCCCGCGCCATCGGTGTCCTTCCCCAGCTCATCATCGACCGCGCCCTCGGTGCCCCCATCGAGCGCCCCAAGTCCTTCTCCACTGCCAAGTGGGCCGAGCTTGTCAAGAAGATCTAAACGTGTACGCTTAGAAGAAGATGATGATGATGGCGGAAGAGAGAAAAACGGAGGCGCGCCTGCGGATGCAAGTAATTTTGCGTGCGCGGGAAAGGCATCAGGGTCGCATGAGCGATCAACAATAGACATGAAAGGCAGCGTGTTGTTTCAGTCAGGGTGGATAGAAAAGCTTTGGGCGATACCATCCACTGCGCTTGTACAATACCGAGAAGGGCTGCTTTTACCGGGAATTACTGGGTTGTTTTAGTTACCTTGGGGCCGAGGCTGGCTTGCGTCCGAATACACATTTACGAATTTGAAGTTATAAAGATGTTCCTTTACTTGCATTGATCCTTGCTTTACCATTTACTCGGTACACTGACCATGGTCTATTCTCGAAGCTTGGTGCGCATGATGCGACGATGTTGAACTTGAGACGGAGCGGGAAAGGGATGGATTTGCCGATGTCTGCGCGCCTCTGGACGTGACAGGCGAAGCCATGCGCGCAGCGTGGCGCCGCGATGCTTGGACACGCGGCCGGACTCGAGCTATGCAAGTTTTGGAGTCGAGCTTCTGCAGGCACGCGCACACCAGGAGTTCGTGTCACTTTCAAACTTGTGATGTCTTACATAATCTCAAACTACGGTACCACCTTGTACTGCATAATATCCGTCGTCTTACTGTATGTAATCCACACCTCCCCTCGGGTTGGTCATACCCCAATCGATGTCCGGCGTGGGAAAGACAGCTTTTGAGCCTTGAGTACTCCGTAAGAAAAGAGGAACCTGGTGCAGGAGCAAGTGGTTCCGGCTCAGGGATGCAGTTCCGGGTTTTGTGCAATGTGATGGAGTCGGATGGTTTAATTGGATAAGGGTTGAAGGCTTCTTACCGTGAGGCTGACACGGTGGTACTGGGAGATCTTACGGGGGGAGTAAATGGATGTTGATGGTTGTGGATTGCCAAAAAAGGGATTGTCGATTCTACGGCGTACGGCTGGTGAGTCTGAGAGATTAGAGCTTGATACCCAGTCAGAGGCGGGAATCGGAGGGAGGCAGTTTGGGACGGGGGCGGTTGAGGCTTTGGCAGTCGGAAGATCCCCACGGAATTTTGCGTTGAGCTCTCCAGATGGGGACAAGGCTGGAAGCTGTTGGGGAGGGTTGAGCTCCAAAAAAAGGACCCGGCGGGGCGCGTGGGCGCCTTCTTCGGTTTCTTGAATCTTTTGGTGCTCTTAGTGCCCGTTTTGGTGTTGGCGGAGAACCCACGGGCCAGTCCGTGGCACGGCGGACCTGTTGATGCGCGGCCTCGAGGTACGGACCCTGTTTTCTTCTGCGTGAGCTTCGAGCTTCCTTTTGTCTGGTTGAAATCCAATGTTGCAGGCGGCACAACTCCCTTCCCAAGCTGTGGCTGTAACGGGACTCACTGATGTGTGCCTTGTTATCTGAGGTGAGGTGAGGTAAGCAAGCCGCCGAGGGAATATTGGCTTGCTGCAGTTCATCCTCGTAAAAGTACCCGAAGGATAGCTGACATCGGATACGATTGTTTGTAGTGGATGTGTACATGCCAACAGCTCGTACCTGCTTCCAAAGCTGCTGCTAATACGACCAGATATACTTGGTAGTCAACTACGGATATACGCACTTCTAAATGAGGTCTATGAGCAGCACAATGCACAGGGAGAGAGGGACGATGAGAGGGAGCCGAGTCTTACAACAATGCTTGGACAGCCGGCATCGTCTCAAGTTATGGGCGCACACGTCTCACTTTTTATCGCATTCCCATCTCCATGCCACACACACTCTCTCCGAGCTGTCCAGGAAGCCGATCTACTGTAGGTATCTTTTGCTTGCCAGTAGGGACACAGAGTACTTCGTACTCAAAGATGCAAAGTACCGGCGGGAGACATGAGGTGCCCAGTCAAGCTTACATACGCTGCTACAACCATTGGGGGAGACTTCAGACAAGGGGCTCTCGGCCGCCCGTTATGCTTCAAGGGTTGGTTACCTGAGAGGAAACATCTAACTCTGTCTGGTCGTCTGTATCGCATATGCCCGTCCAACAACCATCTAATAGGTCGTCCGAGGTGATACTCGGGTGAATAGCCTAACCTAGGGCTGTCAGATCGGTCCTCCGATCAAGGCCAAGTCCAAGGCTAAAAAGCCCAATGGAGTCCAAAGTTGACCCGGTTCCAAGCTCATCAAAGCCCGCCCTAGGAAGATAGACTGGAGAGAGAGAGTGAGCATTGAGTGTGGGCTGGGACCAAAAAAATTGAGGAGCTCCAGCATTCAGGTAGCCCACCCCTGCCCCTGCCTTGCCTTTGCTCACTGTTCCCTCCCAAATCCACTCCAATTCCCACGTGCAAAAGGCGCCTGCTCCCACGTCCGCTCAGTCACGGAGAGCTCCTGCTTCTGTTTCTTCGGTTTCTTGTCACTGAGAACGCACGCTTCCACCCCCGAACTAGCAACCAAAACCAGTCCAGTCCCCCGGGCGCCTAACTTTCAAACGAACACATCTCTCCTCACCTCATACACAAAAGTCACCTGTGACCTCGGCCTTCCTCCGAGATACACCTATCAACACACAGCTCGAATATCCGAGGTCATTCCCAGCCCTTTTTTTTATCCCGCAACCTACCGCATTTTCCCCCATTCCTCGCTTGGCTCCATTCCCAAGCATCTACCCCGTACTTTCCATTAAACCTCCCGCCGCACCTCGCATCCCCCGCGAAGAAGCACCCTCCTCCCTTGGTCAGGGCCCCTTTCCGTCATCACAAGTAGCAGAGCCATGGTTGCCGTCGCCACTATGCCCGCCCCCATCGGGGAGCCCCAGAAGCTGGAGAAGAAGCCCGTCAAGTTCTCCAACTTGCTGTTGGGCGCCGGTCTGAACATGTTCGAGGTCACCACGCTTGGCCAGCCGCTCGAGGTCGTCAAGACCACCATGGCTGCCAACCGTGGCGACGGCTTTGGCACTGCCCTGGGCCGCATCTGGGGTCGTGGTGGTGTCCTTGGTTGTGAGTAAACTCCCCATCCTCAATTCCGATGATTCTCGTGATTCTCCGAGATGACGACTGGAAATCAATCCGTCAATCGAGCTGCTTATCGCGGCCCGGTTGATGGCCATTGATTGCTTGATGTCGAAGCTCTCTAGAAGACAAATCACTCCACAAGCAAGAAGCATCACTGACATTTCTCCTCCCTCATAGTTTACCAGGGTCTCATCCCCTGGGCCTGGATTGAAGCCTCCACCAAGGGCGCCGTCCTTCTCTTCGTCGCCTCCGAGGCCGAGTACTACGCACGCAACGCTGGTGCTTCCGAGTTTGGTGGTGGTATCATCGGTGGTATCACCGGTGGTGTTGCCCAGGCCTATGCCACCATGGGTTTCTGCACTTGCATGAAGACGGTCGAGATCACCAAGCACAAGGTTGCCTCCACTGGCGTCCCGCCTCCCAGCACCTTCCAGACCTTCATGGGTATCTACCGCAAGGAGGGTATCAGGGGCATCAACAAGGGTGTCAACGCCGTCGCTATCCGTCAGATGACCAACTGGGGCTCCCGTTTCGGTCTCTCTCGTCTGGCCGAGCAGGGCATCCGCGACGTAAGAGGCAAGAAGGACGGTGAGAAGCTCGCCGCCTGGGAGAAGATTCTTGCTTCCGGTCTCGGTGGTGGTCTGTCCGCCTGGAACCAGCCTATTGAGGTCATCCGTGTCGAGATGCAGAGCAAGAAGGAGGACCCCAACCGACCCAAGAAGATGACGGTCGGAAACACTTTCCGTTACATTTACTCCACCAACGGTATCTCCGGTCTCTACCGTGGTGTTGCTCCTCGTATTGGTCTCGGCGTTTGGCAGACGATTTGCATGGTTGCTTTGGGTGATATGTGAGTTGCCCCCACCCCTTTCGTCACATAACACGGACAGAACTAATCACTGGGAACTACAGGGCCAAGACTTACGTCGAGAAGGTCACCGGCGACAAGGTCACGGCTAAGCATTAAGATGGCGTTACATGGGGGAATTTAGACCAATACCTGGAATGGTCGTTGGACTGAGGATGGGGCTGGCTAGCTAACCTGGTCAAAGGCGGACTCCGTGTGGGGGAGCTGTTGTAGCTTACCTTACCAGTAGCACGGATGAATCCCGCCGTGGCCCCGTGCGAGTGACATCCCCGGGGCTCAGCGTCTGTATCTGTTCTTCATCTGGCTTTATGCTTATCTTAGAGACTACTCGTTATGGGCTGCATTTTGCGCCCTCAGAACCATATATAAAAGATTCGTAGACTTTGTTGTCTCTGCTGTTCGTGATAGTTTGTTACAAGTGGATTGGGAGTGAAGACAGGTACATCCCCACACTTACAGTACGGAACAAAGTCCGCTCGAGACCCGGGAATGAGGTTGCCTGGCTCCCGGACCGGCCGAGCGCAAGGAGTTCGGACGCGGGTCCGGGGGGAAGCTTGTTTACCCGCGCGGGCTGCGACTTTGACGGAGTCCACATCCGCTGAAACGCATCGTCGGCGCCGGTGGTGTGGTTCCCTCTCTCTCGCTGGGGTTCTGGCGGCGGCTGTGTGGTATTTGTGGAACGTATTCTCCCCGCTCCTTTCGTTGCATTGACAACATATCGTTCTATCAATGGACCTACCACGGTAAGCGGGTGTCTGGGGAGGTAAGAAAGCCTTCAGGGAGCTACTTCTAGGGAGAGCGAAGATGAGTGACAGCTGGTCGTGACGGGATATGCTTATACAGGTCTTTCTCATATCACGCTCACTTTCTATTGATCGAGTTGCTTTAGCTTACTGGGGAGGAGGGTTTGTCTGGCTTTCTCTCACAGATGGATCTTTTTGTGGGTTTCCTACGTTTGACCTCTTTCTTGCCTTACTTGCCTTATGAAATGATCAACGGTGTAATCATTCGACTTCGCTGTGTGATCTAGATTACGGGGATTCGTTAACGGTGTAAAATTCGTACTTTCCCTTGGGTTTCTCTTCGTGTTGGTGTATACACCATGTGCCAGTGGGGTGACAAGCCTGTCGGCTTGCACGAAGCCCGACATCGTACGTTGAACTGCGGATGGAGGTCGACTACGGGAGGGGTGTTTTATGGTTTGCCTTCACCCCTCCATGCTGGCCATCTACCATCAACATCACAATGAGGTCGTCTGGAAAGGTGGAACCATGCATGATATATGCATAGTCTAGAGTATCAGGTTCCTGTCGAGCGGGTAATAAGCTTTTCTGGTCTCATGTACCAGGGCGGAGCATAGATTTGGAAAGGGGAGCCGGCCAGTGGAGGCCTTCTGCAGCCTCGGGAGGATGGGGTACGAATTATTCTATGGCGGCAGATGTACGAAGCTCTTCGGGCTGAACTATGCGCGCGAAGAAGGAACATGGATGAGCGATTTTAGCTAAGCAACGGAATGAGGGACATGTAAGTCCAAATTTTGAACCGTGTAAAGTTCCGAACGTCGGGGAAGGCAGTAGACCCTGACGGATGATGTCTACGGGACATTCATACGGCGGCATGTACGTGTGAAGGCAAACATTTAAATTAAACATCTACGGTTTAGAAGCTAGACAGAAGATATAAATACTCCCCTTGGCTCTCCTAGACCGATAACCCAACGTCAATCGTTTGCTGTTAGATGAGCTGAGAAGGAGCACGCTACTTGTACGGGAGCGGAATGGGATAGTGAATGGCAGGATAATTGAACAATAAGCCAGTAGAACGGTGCCCAAAAATATGGCAGCACTGAGTTTCAAAGGAGGCGTCATCGGCGGATGGAGGCTATGTATGGCTGGGCCGCGGTTGCGGAAAATCATTTGATATATTGACAGCCGCTCAATGTTAATTGGGCCCTTTTCGCGTTAATCACTCAGGGTCCTCGATATCTTATTTCTTCTCCTCCTACGAAGTCTATTCCATTCTAGATAGTGAATATTGGAACGCAGACCACCCTGTTGGTATTTGGGGGATTCGAAGCCAACATGGGCAAGAATTTGGCGTGTAATTTTTGAAAAGTTTGGTCATCGCATAAAATAGTCCCCGTCAGGGAGGCGTCGGCATTCACAGATACATACTATGTTCTATTGTTCAATAGTATGTCCCAGGCTTCTCTTGTGCATGAAGTCACCAAGGTAGATGTCTCTAGAGAAGCATGAGCTTTCTCCGGACCCATTACCCAGTTCTCCCTGAGCCTCTCTCGCCTTCTGTAAAGGCGGCTTATTATATATCAGTCAGGCAACTGGCTAGCCAACTGAAAACCTTTTCTCGTTCTTGGTCGTCTAACGAAAAGCAACACCAAGTTCAGCCGCCTATCCATCCTCGACGTTTTCAACGTTCTTCTGGCACTTACATCAGAGCTGAAGGGCACAGAGACTCCCCCTTTTCAGCAAATAACGCGCCCACTCGTTCCATCTTTACAATCTTAGACGGACATTATCTACATCCTTCTCTCTCCCCATAATCAAACGGGTACAAATCTCATCAACTCAACCTTGACTTCGCCCAGACCCTTCTCCAAGAACCATGAAGTCCCCAATCACCCTCCTCCTCCTCTTCCTCGCCACGACGGCAACCCTCGTCTCGGCCATCAAACCAGGCGGCAAGGGCCCCATGAACATGCCGCGCGAGAGACAGCACATGTGGCAGCAGGTCGCCTGCAAGCGCGGCCACGGCAACACCTTTGTCACCCCCTTCAAGCTGACGGCCCTCGTCGACGAGGACGTCGGCGCCGTCTGCCACCGCCTCTGGCACAACCTCAAGCGCACCGACCTCGCGTGCGCGCTGCCCAGCAAGCCCGTCTGCGAGGACCGCGGCGACAAGTCGATCCAGGAGAAGAGGCTCTACTGGAGCTTCGACGTCTTCGCGACCTGCCCGGCCCTCGCCGTCGACTCGGCGTGGTACGAGAGCACGGGGAACATCTGGGGCAAGTCGAACTGCAACGAGGGCCTGTACATGTACGACGACCTGCCTGAGTTGCCGTTTCCTTATAAGAAGCAGCGTCCGACTGCGACTGGGACGGCTTGAGGGTTGTGCTTGGAGATAAGAATCTGGAAAGGCTTACGCCATACGATGAGATAACTTGGGGAGGAGGTGGTGACGCTATCAGTCAGATATTACGACAACTGGGGATGGGAGGTTGATGTTGGAATTCCCTGAGCGGGTTTGTGGACTGCTCTCTTCGTGGCTTCTCTTCGACTTGTGTTTTCCGATTTGTAGCGGGCTACTTGATGAGGTTTCTCATCAAGAGAGCCTCGTCATATCTTTCCGTGTTATTGATTATCCTGTACAACCTCCCATCTAGCCCCTCCCAGGATACTAGAACTCAAGCTAATAGTCGTCACTCTCGAATGGAAAGGAGGCATGAGATGAATCATCTGTGGCGAGCGTCTTCTCATTGTCAATGTTTACTGTCGATGGCAGTGATGATTTCAGTAGGTCAGAAAGGCGGGGGCCGATGAGTCAGAGGTATTGACATCTGTGGCTTGTTTGAAGCCATACCAACGAGCCTTGCGGAGAATCAAAGATATGATGATCTCAAAAAACATCTGCTTCCTAGAGGAAGCTTGTAGGTCTCTCACAGCTTTCGTGAACGAGTACGATCCACACATTATCTTGAGGGTAGGCAGACTAACAATATGCCTCCTTTTAACGTCGACCCGAAAGACCAAGCGAGTCTCCTCAAGAGCATCTTTCTTCCATTGCCTATGACCAGTCAGACCCCATCGCCATTGACTCATAAAAGGTTCCGTATGGTATAGTCCTCTTGCGGCGCTCTCCATAGCCTGGTCTTCAATATTTACGTAAACAAGGCGGTTATCGATGCCGGGTTCTAAACCTTGTTGTTGCGGTTTCCAAATAAAGAAACCCCTATCAACGCCGATTCGAACACGGAGCCTGTGAGTAATGTCAAGGTCACAGAGTGTCAGAGAAGGCAGTCGTAGAAGATGGGAGAATGATTAGATCAACACATCTCCAGCAATACGGAGCGCTGAAGTCCAGTTCATGTATGCTAATCCGGGTTTCACACTCTCGACCAGAACAATCATAGGCAAAGCCCATCTCGTATCGAAAGGCGAACCCTCGCCGAAAAAAAGTCAAACACTCAGACTTGCCCTCACAACATTCAATCGTATTTGAAGAGAAGGGAGCTAATTAGCCGAGCAGGTACGATTACAAGCCAATGACCATAGACCCCGTCCTCTCTGACATGCCCGGCAAGACGAGAGCAAGATGGCACTTCCATCCTCTCCAGTTCGTCAAACACGACAAACCACCCCTTTCCAATGCTCCAACAGTTATCAGTCTTGAACGTGATGCTGGCTCATCTCGCCTCATCTCACTTTGATACCTTGCCTGACAGCCCAAGAACTGACTTACACGCACACAAGCACAGCCGCAAAAATCTTCGGCCTCGCCAGAGCCACAAAGTCAAAAATCCAAAGTCAAAAGTCCAAACCCCCTTGTAGCCTCGCTCCCGGAGATTCTCGCATTCGCGAATCTGAGAAAGAAAGTATGGGATACCCGAGAGCCTTGATAGCGCATCCCAACGAAGGCTTACAACCACAGCCTCGACCATCCGAATCTCCATGGGCTAGTCAGCCAGCAAACCTCATTATGCATTGCATTGTCGGGCTGACTGAGATGACAGAGGTACAACTACGACCCAACCGACAACGAAATTCTCTCTCAAGTATCGGACGACAGAATCCCCGGCTCAAGACTGCGATCCCGTCTGCTCGGAGCGCCCTGATATCTGACGATATCCTCACTTGAACCTTCAATACCACCGCTCTCACTACGAGGCACAATCATCAGTCGGGTAAGAAGCACAAGGTTGATCGCAAAGTAGCAGCAATACCGGTAGGAGTCTGCTGCCATTCAATGCGCTCACGTGCCATTGCAAAGACCGACCAAACTCGAGAGTTCAAGTACGCAGCCGCACGTGTGAATCAACCCGATCTCAATAAACGTCACCGTAAAGAAAAAAAAACTGTACAGTTTTGCTAGTCCGGCCAGTCGGGTTCTAAACCACTGACACATGCCACATGGGACATTCCATTGGAGGAGAAGCCCATTCCAAACTCCATATCAAAATTTCTCCAATCTTCCTGCCCGTCGGGTATTTCCATAGAAAACCATAGCGCAGACATTTCATTTCTGCCTCAAAGTCCAAAAAAGTTTTCATCCCTACTTTATCTTTGGTTCGACCTCTCTCTCAATGTAAGCTTGGACGGAGAAGGACAAAGTCGCAGACACTGTGTACGAAGTACGGAGTAACAGGTTCTGCGACATGCCATGCCATGCCATCCCTTCCGTCTACAACCCAATCCACCCCGCAATATCAATGAAACTCGAAACGCGTCGGGCATGAAGGAAACAAAACGAAACGCATAAAATGGAAACGCTCTAGAATAGGGATGCCACGAGGGAAAAAAAGAGGAAACGATTCACGACAGGAAGAGAAGGAAACAAAAGACCGGATGAACAGGTCGGCTGTGCTTTGCTTGATGTTTCGTCCAGCAATTGGACGCAACCAAGGTAAGTAGACAATAGTCGCAAGATGAATCGCATTGCTACTACTATAACAGCAGCTCTCTGTCACTCGCAGAGAGAAAAGAGAACCAATCCCATTCTACTTTCTTAGCGTGGGAGAGTTTGAAGAGATTTTTTTCTGCTTGCGCAAAAGCTTATCTGTCTTATTACTTTCCCAGTCATATCGCAACTTTGGATCAGCGGTTGCTAATGGTCGCCAATGGTTGCCAATCTGCGACCGGCGGGCTTGGCCTTCCCCGTATTACATGACTATTTCATGATCCCGAGCACGCAAAAAAGAGGGCAGATCGGCCCCAGCCAGCCAGCAATTCGCAAGTTCATCAATCGCACTGTACGCAGTTGTCCAGACTGTCCTTCGTATACCAATACAATCGTCACTCAAAGGGAGAAGGGACAGAGAGTTGTTGCAAGGACGAAAAACGATCGAGTGTCGTCGCAAAATGACCCCCCCAACGCCTCAAAAGAAGCCACAACCGAACCGGTGTCTGCCGCTAGGGCCCAGGCAAGCGCAGGATAGAGTGCCTTCGGCGGCTTTCCTGAAGAGGTTGGTCGTTTCCCCCTGTTGCCATGGAGAGCCAAGAAAACAGTCAATAGTGTGTCCCCCAAATCCACGACAAACAAACAACAACACAATAACACTGGGTTGTGCACCCCCCCGGGAAAAGGCAAAAGCCATGGCGGTTTCACAGCGTTCCGTCTGAGAATCGACACGATCTCTAGCGGTTGGTCACTTGCATGACACCTAATAATCAGTAAATCATACCCAAGGTACCCGGTCCCCACAGCCCGCCGCCGGTCCAACTTGCAAGGCTACGGTGGCCCGCCCGGTTGCCAGCAGAACCCTTCCCCTAAAGACAACTACCTGTGGTGTTGTGGGTTGTCGAGATGGGCAAGGCGGTAAGTGAGTTGGCACACAGTTAGGTGATCGCAATTGGTGGCCGCAGCGGCCATCCCACACCATGCCGCTGCAACCCGCTTTCAACATTGCTTCTAGAAGGGCGGAAAGCGGACACGCACCAACGGAGAGCGGGCGGACGGGCGGGTTCTGCTGATGCTGCTGGTGCTAGCATGCTCCAATTCTCTTCCTCCTGCGACCCTCTCTCTATGCTGCTTGTTGGCCGTTGGCGTGCTGGCTGCATCGCTGCATCGCTGGCGGCATGTGGGGACAAACATCGTGAGTGGTTGCGGTTTGGTCGAGCGAAGCTCCGTTAGTGTCCTGTTCCTGTACCGGATATCTCTGCAGGACACTGGAGCATCTGCAGGATTGCCGCGGCTCAAAGTCGAAAAGATGGAGACCCCAATCAAACCGCAAGATCCATCCAGCCAAGCAGCGCGTAAAGAGGGTTCGGCTCCGTATTGCCCTAGAATGCATGGTCAGTTCCGGGAGTGGATTGGCGTGCCAATCGCCGGTTCTCCCCCATGAGCCCATAGAACCCAACTGAACCCTTCCGACTGATAGACGGAGACTGCCCGGTCTAACGCTTCACGATGGGGCTCCTTAACACGGGACGCCTTAAGAGCAAGGCCTGGGAAACCGCGGCACACACCGCGAAAGAAACCGGGTCTTGGTCCCGGGCAGGAGCTGAAGCGGGAACTCTGGGCCATGAGACCATAATCAGAGGAGCCAGTCAGCCACTGACTCGTCTCCTTTGCCGTTTCTTCTTAGTTACTCATAGTAACGGGGGCGGTCGCCGGCATCCCTTGATCCTATCGAGTATACTCCGTAGAGGCAAGGCCCATAGCCCATGGTAATGGACCGAAGCAAGAAACGGCCCGTAATCGTTAGCCAACGGCAACTCCACGCAGCGCCGTCACAGGGAGCCAGGGCCACGATCATTAATGAACCCTCACCGCTTGATGACGAAGTGCCGTGTGGAATGTCACCAGATGTTTCCCGGTGCTTTGGTCTCTCGTAATATCCCAGAGACCCAGCCAGCCGCCCAGGTTGGCCTGTCCTGTATGCTCTCAAGGTTATCTAGTTTTTCGAGATTCGACGTTGTGCGTCCATCTCTGACTGGCTGGCGAACTGCGAACCGAGAGCAGATTCAGATTGTCAACGACAAATAGTTACGCTGTCCAGTTGCAGGCTTTTCTTCTTCTCCTTGGTTCAGGTTTCACCTTCATTGGCCTGTTTCAGGCTCTCGCCCAGCTGCTACCCCAAGATGTCGTCTCGACCTCTGCCATGTCGTACGCATGCGACCTCGTAGACAGCAATCAGCCGCCTGGATGCGATGCTGTAGGCTATCCTTGACGTTCCATTGCCGACAAGGGAAAGAAAAATGAGATGGCTGGCGATGTCGCGCCGCAGCGCCGTAGCGAGTCGGGTCGAGTCAAGCACGTCGTGCCGACTTTAGACGATGGTCGGATCAACGCTGGCCGCAGACACTGGTCGCATATCTGCGCTGGTTGACGGTCTTAGGTCTGACAGCATTCCATCGTTGACCTAATGCTTCCGGAACTTTTCGAAGCGTCTTGGCCGCAGCTGCAGCTAGACGGATCCCTCAGGTACGAACTTTGGCGAAATGCAGCTATTCGCTATGTTGTACATGTCGCAATTCTCCATATCTCGAAATTTGCTTCAAATCCACATTCATCCCGTTGCAAGTTGGAACAGCCCTGTGAGTTGGGATGACGTCTGTCGTGGAGGCAGAACGCATTGAGCAATTTCAATCGGATGAAATGATGCGGGAAATCGGCAGACTCATGATCTACTTCAGCTCATTAAGGCAAATCGAAATTTGACATGAGCTCCAGACCAAACCCTATCTGGCCTGTGCTGGCCCCTGTGGTGATGGAGATGTAAACAAACGTGATGGGTACCCATCTCACCCACAGCTTAATGTCCGAAAATACCAGGGTTTATCGACGGAGACGGTGCCATGATGCAAATGAGCGAGCATGCCAACCGTGCCCTCTTCTGACAGGGTTCTACGCGCCATCAATTAGACCTTTCTCGCGTCCAGTGCTTGCCTTTCTCGTCACTCGTTGGCATTAGCAGTCAGTATGTGATGTCGCAACGAGACGGAAAAGGCCTGGTAAGCTGTAACACGGCGACTCGAGTGAGAATCCCATCCACGTCCAATATTGTGCGTTATCGATCCGGGGGCCACTCCGCCATTGTCTGTCATAGTAATCCCCGCTGACAAGCCCATCGGCTCCGGAGACGGATGGATGGTCTTGTCACCCACAGGCCATGGATCGATAGGAACACATCACCCAAACAGCAAGCTACACGGCCGAGTCTGGGTCCAGAAGTCTCACTACGAAATTCTGGTCGAGACCCTAGACTCCTAGAGCCTAGGGGATGCGCGACGTGGAGCGGCTTTCAGTATGCCGAGCGCTGGGGGAGGCGGCGTCGCGAGTACCCATAGCCGATAGTTTGGCAGTTGAGTCGGGATTCGTGCCCCAGCTCGACCGACCGTTTGTTGTGGCCAATCCCTGCATCGTCTTACGTGCAAACGAATTCGTGAAATCATAGTTCGTACGCTGGCGTGACTAGTAGACTGTCTATCCGGACTGCGAAGAAGAAAAGAGATAGAGCTCAAGTGGGAGCTGCCAAATGTGAGGCTCGTATGAATACTAGCACTGGTTTTTGGAGTTTAGTTGGTAGAGAACCGCCAAGGTCCCAGGCCGCTGGCCAAGACTTTGGGTTCAACCTTTCCCCTCCAAGATGGAATTGATGCGACGATGCCGTGAGCATGGACACCCCGATTCCGTTGGTCCTTTTCTCGCTCAATCTTTTGAGTCTTGACCTCACACAGCTCAGCGGAAGATTGCGGGCTGTACTCGTGAGCCAAGAAGGATCAACTATACATGGAAATGGCCTTGTCTTAGAGCTGCCAAACGAGGCGACATTGGGGTAAAAAAGGCGCATGTCATCGACGGCCAAGACACTGGAGGCGTCGATTCGTTGCAGGACCCCCCATCCTTCTCCAACTTTGCCAGAACCGACTGACTCGGAAGGGGGGGAATGTAGACTTAAACGGCAGCAGAATGAGGCTTTAGGCACGTTAGGATGGTAGCAAGCGCGGGAGAATCAGGGCCGTCAAATCCCCGCACTCGACAGAAAGCGGGAGTGGAGGCACAGTGCAGGTGTATCTGTACGGGCGATTCGATGGACGATTACGGGAGGGGGTAACCGGGGCCATTTCCGAGGACTGTAATGGTGGGTAGTGGTGCAGAGATGCGGCGTGCCCCAAGATGGCCCAGATCAACGATGGGCGAGGTATCGAACTGTCCAATACGATAGCAAGGTTTGAAATGGCTCATCGTGGGCGGCTCAGCATGCCTCTTTGCTAAGAGTCACGACCAAGAACACAAAGACGGTGAGTGAGCGCCGAGAGTCTCCAGTCTCCACGGGGAGCTCACGAGGACAATATTGAATGGCGAGCTTTGGCCAGCCGAGCGCGAGTTTTCTCCAGGCTCCAGCCGTCCAGGTTGCCCGACAGGTTCTGTCATCCGGCCCAAGGACAGGACCAAACACCCGGGCTTCAGGTAGGCCCGGGCGTCGCCCGTGGTAAGACCTGGCAGGCTGGGATGGTGGAAGAAGCCGGGCAGACCGTGCTTGAATCTCGGTGAGAGATTACAGTATCGGCGAACTTCTCTAGGAGCTGGGCCACCACCCTTTGCGTGGCACCGTGGCTGGCAGCCGGGCGAGGAAACGGCCAGGCGGTTCGGGATGTCTTGAGTTTGGAAGGCAAAATGGCCAAGGCCACCGACCGCTTTGTACATTATGGATCCCCCGGCCTCTTCGACGGCGAGACCGAACACTGACCGACACGGCTCCGATCCCAAGCTCCAACGCCAACGAGAACTGGTTTTTGGCGAGAGCGCGCCTCGTACGGAGAAACCCTTGTAGCGTCGATCAGCTTGGGGGTAACATCCAGCAAGCTTAGGTCAGCACGTCAATTCCCGCGATGGCGAGAGAGGCGAAGGCGAGCACTGGCGAGGTCGAGCAAGAGGCGTCAATTAGCCACTCTGCGACCTGCCACGATCGGAGGTCGGTGCGAAAGCGATGAGCGGTAACGGATCGGCCGGAACGGCGAGGGTCACTGAGTAAGAGAAGACCATCTGACGGGAGCCGCCCCATTCGCTATGACGTAGAGGCGTCGAACCCTTCGTGATGGATCAGTCGTGCGCCAGCGCGCCGGCGGTCAGCCTCGGATTAGGAATTGGAGCAGTAAGATCAGTGCAATCCCGACCCGGCCACCGGTATCGTTTCTGGTTCGCGATAGCTCAGCACAGGGCAATTCTGTCAGTCGAGTATCCGTAGGGTCCGTGTGCCTAAGGACCGACAAACATGCTGCAAAGAAACATTCAGCGAAGGTTTATTCTGCCGCCAACATCGGAGTCCCTGTAAGCAGGCGACGTGCGGTGAACAGTGGATATCCCTCTCGGAGTGTGTACCTGGCTGTCGCGAACACAACGTGGATAAGTCGTACTAGCTCTTTGAGACTATTCTCCGCCGGCTTAGAAGGTGACAGGATCGTGAACCAAATTATTCGGTGTCTGCACTTCGCACAGTAAAACATATTGCCGTCTCGCTGCCGGACCTAGATTGTACAGAGCTTCTAAATACCGTATGTCTCCGTCATGAGCCTGAACCTATTCAGCCAGACAAAGTTGCAGTCTCTGGCCCTGGAGGCCCTTGAGGTCCCTCGAGCTCTTTAGACTGGAGAACGGAGGCGGTCATTGATGTTCTTCTCCCAGCATCACAGCAGGGTTGCGCTGCCATGGAGCCACGGTAGGTACTTGTTGTGTGGAGAGAGAGAGAGTGAGTGTGAGAGACGGTAAGGTAGGCGGCTCGATGGGGGGCACTGTACGGATACGCACCACACCGCACCCGTAGCTAGCTTCCCCATACTGGATCACCAAGGTGTCCGTCAGGTATTTCTATTGGAACTTTGGGGAAATGCGACAGGGCCTGGCTGAGCGATATGTAAGTCGCAGTTCGATGCTTTTCGTATCCGTCAAACAGCCTTCGACAGCCTCCGGGCACTGACACGCGTATTTTTCGTGGAATACTACGTCTGTGTCGCCCAGTATCAACGGCAAAAGAGTGATTCAGGCTCAAGAGTGGACGTGTTAATGAGGAGGACCCGATTTGACGGATTGACCTGTGTGAAGGGCGGGAGATGTTAGCGGGACGAGTGGTGCTGCCGACGATTGCCCTAGCACGGATGTAGACAAGACCAAGTCGTTGCGGATTAGCCGCTCCAGAAGCCTAATGCAAATTACAAGAGTGTTGCAGTAGGGCGGGATGATAGCGGCGGGTAGCTTGCAAAAGCTGCATGTCTGGCAAGTTTGCGAGGTGGAAAAGGTATCCGTCAAGTTCCAAGTGCGTGAGTTGTCTGCACGCATGTCCGGATGCCGGGGACTAGAGAGCCTCGAACAGCGTCTGTATCTTCGAGACCTGGACTGCTCTGGTGTCTCTCATGGTGCTGCTGGCACTGAAAATGTCCCGAGAAGGGACGGGATGCCCGTCACATCTAGCGTTCAAGGGCATTGGCCGAAGTGCCGAATTCAGAAGAGGCAACCTCTCTGGTTGGATGGCGAGGAATGCGAGTGCCGCTGACTGCTGCTGCTTGCACAGGTACGCGCTTTCGTCTCGTTGCAGAACAAGATGCCTGATGATTGATGCATTCCATCGGGCGAGAAAAGGAAAATCAAAACGATGACAGATTGAGATGGGTGAGGTTCGGCCGGTACGTATCGCATCCGGCGGTACAAGCAACCTGCCCTGGGAAGCCGCCTTACCCGTGCCTGCCACGCCTGCCTTACCATACTTTTACATACCCTCACCTTAGTAAGGTAGGTACTTGCCTCGCATCACCGTCCCTGACTCCATGGCCCTGTCTTGGAAAGAACGAGGCAGTCACCACTTGCCAATCCAGTCCGGCTCAGTCGCAACTGCCATTTGGAAGAAGAACGATGAAAGAAAAGAGTAGGTATGACGCCGAGACAGTGCACATACGGTGCTTACGAGAAACTGGCAACGCCGAGCATGGGGGGGAAAAGTTTGAAAGGGCCGTTTCCTGATAGCAATTTGATTGGTCGATTGGCAACAACCTCGCAGGGTTGGTGACGGTTGTCCCCAGCCCCCTCCCCAGAGCAGAAAGCCCGTCAAAGCTCAATCGCGAACAGCAGGGTAGGTCCCCCAACGTCGAAGCTCATGACTGGCAGCGAAATTTGGAGGGCCAAAAGCTTGTTGTGATCCACTTGCCTTGGAGTGCTGGACGATAGAGAAAAAGGGCCGTGCTGTTGCTGAGCGTTGGGAACTGTGTGGGGGTGTGCAATATCCCATGTCGATAATACCTAGTCAGGGAAGATACGTACTCTAATTGTTTGATCTTGCACAATTTGTACGTACTCGTCCACTCCTTCACTTCACTGATCAGTGCTAGCAGGCCGCGTTGGAAGTGCGGCATGTTATCCGCCGTGGCTTGATGACTGATGCGCGTGGTGAGAGTGCCACTGCAATTACACGGAGAAAAAAAACTTCAATCCGCGACCGCCGGGCGTAACCATTCTCGTGGGACTTGGAAGCAGTCCATTGCGCCTATTGGCGTCGTCTTGTTCCATTCGACCCGGGTGAGGCACTTAATGGCCGTTGAAAAAAGAAAGAGACATGCGCCGGTTGTATCCGGACTTGTTGTTGTAGTGTACTCGTATGTGCTGACCGCCAGCGTTATCGTCCTTTCATCCACCCATCCATCAGGAAGATTCGACGGCAGCGTCCAAGCTCATGCGGTTCACGCAAGTCGTACAGCGGCAATGAAGAGTGGAAAAGGGTAGGGGGAGCGCGGCGCACGCTCCATCAGGCGAACCCGAGACAGACCAAGAGCCGACGACGACGACGACGAAGACGACGACTGCCATACTGTAATCCATGGATGTCCACGGTCCATGCCCGGCCTGTCTGTCTGTCGCGGCTCGCCTGTCGTTGTCGTGTTTGGCCCCTGGGAAGCAGTGTCGTCATTTGATGCCATGGAACGGCTCGAAAAATCGCGCAAGCCTCTGTTCCTATTTGGCCAATGTCTGGGCGGCTTCGGAGACCCCAGGAAGGAAACGAAGCGGAAGCACCCTTTGGAAGGAAAGAAAAAAAAGCACTCAGCAATCGGGCAATCCAATAGTGAAGCAGCAAGCAGGCAATGGTACGGATGAGCAGATGTCAACGGGTACGGGGCGACGAAGACGAACTTACCTGAGGATTACCTACAAATGCGCTTAGGTTTCGCGGCATCTTGATAGTCAGCCCAGAACAAGGTACCACATGGACAAGGTAGCGATGTGTAAGGTTGTACGTACCTGACGTCCTGGCCTGATGTGTGGATGTGCGGTTCTGACCCTGCCCGACATGTCGGCGACCCCACAAGCCCGCGGAAAGGTGGTGCTAAACTTCTAAGGCATGCACACCTTTTCTGCTTGCTACGCAGGTATGGTGCTCTGCTATCCACGGTTGGTGAGCGAGGTATCACCGATGGTCAGCGAGCCAGTGACGAAGCTCGGATTGGCGGGGGGCGTGGAAGAGCCAGATCAATGAGTGAGATGGAACGAGGGAAAAAAAAAAGTGGTAGCGCAGGAAGCCAATTCGCCCAGTGCGCCTTAGTCAACGCAGAGGAAGGAAGAGGAAAAAAAAAAAACGAAAATTGGGCCACCTTCCCACTTTGAGAGGTCTCCACTTCGCTCCCACATCTGGGCCACACGCTGCACCTGCAGCCCACTTCTTCTACCCAGGTACCTGCCTTCCCCCCATGTCTGCACCTGGGAAACCTGCACGATACCTGGTCCTGGGAACCGTAGCCCGGCGAGTCCATGTGGGGCACTGTACTTTGTTTACTTGCGAGATTACATTGTGCACCTTGTTTTCGCACTGTTATCTGTACTGGCTTGTGTGTGTGGGAGAGCAACAACACTGAGCTCATCCAAAGGAGGATGCGAGTGTCTACGCAGGGATCCCAGGGCTGTCTGTGGTGTGTTTGCACGTCCCAGCTTCTGTCTCTTGAGAGCTTTGCTCATGTGCCATCCCATCCGCGTAACCGCACCGCACCTCAATGGCTCAGCAGATTGGGAAGAGACTGCGGTGCAGTGCGACGCGCAAAGGAAGCAAAGTTCAATGTCATTCAACTGAGAAGTCTTCAGGCTTAGGCTCAGGCCTTCGACGAAGTCGATTGGCATGAGGTACTCCGTAATAAGTGGTGTTGCACAAGATTACGCTGGCTTGGCTAATGGTCCGTGTTGGTGCCAAACTTGCTTTTTTTTTTCTTGCGCTCATAAATCTCACTCATCAATCGCCCTGCGCGTCACACATGGGAAATTCTCTCGTCTGCTTGCGGCCATTTTCCCCCATTGCTCGCCCCAATTGCCGCCGTATCCCAAATATGCTGTGCACATTTTCTCCAATCGTACGGATACCGTCGAGGTCAAACCCAATTCGTACTGTGGGCATTCCTTGTATCTTGCCCCCCCAGCCCAATGTACTCCAATACTTTATTCTGATAGCTCCAGCGCAAAGTATCGCCCATCGTCCATACGGGGTAAGGATGGATGATTTTTCAATGGGTCCTCCTCTCGGGCCAGGTTGAATAATGGATCCTGACATCGTCCGGTTCTGGCCCTGTCCACTCCAGCGCATATCCTCGTTCTTACCGTGTTGTATCCGTAGGGGCGGCCCATGTAATTGTAAGGTTGACTGGAGTGCCTTTCCTCTCACGAACCCGGTACCTTACTGT